GGGAAAAATGAGTAGCTGATACCAAGGGCTCAAGTAGAAACCAAATGTTTTGAGAATGATGATGGCAACAAATGTACAAATGTGCTTGACACAATGGATGGATGGATGGATTGTGATAAGAGTTGTACGAGCCCCCAGTAAAATGATTTTTAAAAAATAAAAAAAGAAATGTAAAGGGGATTATAAAGTAAAAAAATAAAACATACAAAGGCATTGATTTCTCTTTACTCTTTTCTTATTCATTGTTTTTCTTTTCTTTTTATTTTTCCTTTTTCTCAGGGTCTGAAGTCCTCTTTAACCATTGGTGGGAACACTTTACAACATAAATAAAAACTCGAGGAAAATAAATACATCAGCTCCTAGAAGAGTGGACGCAGTGTGGACGGCGTGGGGCGGGCGCAGATGCACGACGCAGAGCAGACACGACAGGAGGCTTGGAAGAGGGCAGTGAGAGTCCTAAGTGTCCTCGTGCATGTCCTGGCTGTCGGTGCGTGTGATGGGGGGGGGGGTAGCTGAGCTCTCCCCCTCCAGGTCCACTTGCTCCTGATCTCGCTTCTTGGCAGCGTTCTTTTTGTCCCATTGCTGATGCAGGTAGCGCAGGAGGATCTTGGTCTTCGTCACAATGATTTGCTCAGATGGGTACTCCCGAGTGGGCAGGTAGACTGAGGGGCGTCGGTTCAAAGCTTTGCACACAGAGTCAGCATGGAATCGGCTAAAATTGCTTTTGTTGTAGACGGGCAATCCTTTCAGAAAATCGGCCATCTTCTGCAGCCGCCGTCGCTGCCGCCGCAGCACAGTACATTGTTTAACTTTCACATGTATATTGGGCAACAGAAAATGGCCTGGTTTAGTCCTCAAGGTGACATGGTTGCTCTTTAACACTTTTTTCCCCAATTTTCCAAAACTTTTTTTATGATTTAAAACTTTACAGAGTAAATTGGTTTTCCATTCAACAATTCATACATTGATTGAATTCCCCAGTATATACCAGCCTTCTTCCCACTTCTGCCCCCTCCCTGTGTTTTTTTTTTAATTAAATAATCATTTTATTAGGGGCTCATACAACTCATCACAATCTGTACATGTCATTTGTGTCCAGCACATGAGTACATATGTTGACTTCATCATTCTCACAACACCCGCTTTCCACTTGAGCCCTTGGTGTCAGCTCATTTTTTCCCCTCCTTCCCCGCTCCCCCCTCCCCCTGAACCCTTGATAATTTATAAATTATTATCCTCCCTGTGTTTTTATACTATTCATCCTTCTTTCCTGTTCCTTCTAGCTTTTAAGAGTTTTTATCCATAAGCAAATGCTGTCGCTTTGATTTTGTGTGGTTGATTTTCCCGGGAGTGTATGTTATTCTTGGATGTTATTCTTCCCCTCCAAGCCTGTACATTGTTGGGCTGAAAGGTGAGCCAGAGGAGTGAGTACAGGTCCAAGAGCAAAGCATCACTAAAGACCACAATCTGTGGATTCCAAGTCTCCATCAGACCAGTAAGGCTGATCTATTTTATGATTTTGGGTTTTGTTTCACTTTGTTCTCCCACTCCCCTCAGGACCCTCTTTCGTGATCCCTTTCAGAGCAATTAGCAGTGGAAGCTGAGCACCATCTAGTTCTGGTCTCAGGGTTGTGGAGGCTGAGGTTTGCTGTGTTCCATTCATCCTCTGGATTGTTCCCACACATCTTCTGTTTTCTTTATTCTTATTTTATGGTACTTCTGTGCTGTCTCCGGTGGGTAACAAAGAGCATGCAGGTGGGGCAGGTTCAACTGTCATCTGGGTGGGCGCTCTACTGCGTGGTACAGCTGTGATCCAGAAACACCAGGTTCCGCTTTCTCTCGACACTGAAAGCTGGAAGAGCAATGAGGTACCCATGCAACCTGTGGAAGTCTGGAAGGCCCTCTCCCCACAAGGGTGGGCCATGTCAGTAGAGGGACAGCAATGCAGAACATGGATCCCCATATGGTAAGTCACAATTATCTGTTCCCACACTTGGCCCAGGCCAAACTCTAGCACCTCTTCCTCTGTTTTGAAAGCTTTGTTACACTAACTCCAATGAAAGGTTTTCTTCTTGGAAATTTTCTCATGTTTAAGGAAACCTGACTTCCACATACAAGGTTTTCCACATTTGATTCATGCAAAGGGCTTCTTTCCTTTGTGAAATCTCTGATGTGCTGGAAGGCATCGCTTCTGGCTGGAAGGTTTACCACACTCACCACATATTAAGGTTTTTCTCCACAAAGAATTCATAGATGCGTTTGCTCTTTAACACTTTCAAGAAGACTTTTGCAGCAGATTTGCCCAGTGGAATACTTTGTTTGGTTTCTTGACTGCTACTTCCATAGGTTTTGACTGTGGATGTTGTTGGGGACCAACCTCCCCACAACTGAATAGATCCAAGGAGCAGTTGTGTAATTGAGGAGTAAACTAAGGAGACATCAGACAAAATAGAGCATGCAAGGGCTCACCTTCTTCCATGAAGACCAGAACCAGGTTGAGATAGTACTTTATTCACTCAGAGACTTATATAATCTCGGGCAAGCAAGGCATGGTAAGCTCATACGTAACAAGAAAGGGTTATGCTAGAGGAGGATGAGCTAGGGGTATACACGCAATAGGAAGGTGAGGCACTAGAGGCATACATGTGACAGGAAGTCACAAACATAGCAACATGGGTGGACTCTACAGTCAAGATGGTAGCCTATCCTTGGTCTTTTCTGAGTAGGCATGACCTGCGGTGTCTTTGAGCTCTTCTCCAGGGGAACAATCTATACCAATAAGTGCCCAGAGACATTGCACCTTGCTTCTAAGCCTCACCTCAAAAGCACACAATTCTGTTGCTCTGTGGGTCAGTGAGCCAAACCCCATCAAGTGCCTGAAGACACCTCGCTTCACCACCAAGCCTCCTGCCCAAAGTTGTTCCGCTTTTCTCACTCTTTGGGCCTGGAAGCCCACTGTGCTGTCTCTTGCCAAACTCCTTCTGCCATTTCTCTGCTACTCGTTGCGTCACACTGTCTCTGGTGTTACAACTTCCTCTGTTTCCTCAGGCTTGAAGGTTCTCAGTGCACGGATCCAGGGTCAATGAAAGTGCTCCTCTCCTGGCTCTTCTTTCTTGATGATCATGAAGTCCCCATTTCTACCTCTGGGATGACTCATTTTAAGCCTGGTGGGCTGGCAAAACAGGCCAATCCCATTAAGGTTCCATACACCTTGTTTGCATGTTCCCACATCCCCATAAAGGAGCCCTGGTGGTGCTGTGTGCTGTGGGTCAGGTAATGGCCTACTTACCACGAGGTCTGTGGTCCAAACTCACCAGCTGCTCCATGGGAGAAAGATGTCCCTGTAAAGATTTTTAGTCTCAGAAATCTCATGTAAGGGTGCTATGAGTTGTAATTAACTTGATGGTAGTGGGTTGGGCTTGGTTTCTGGTTTACACCCCCAAAAGGGTGCCATACACCTGATTTATATGATTATCAAGTTATCTATTCCCCTTAGTGGGCCACAAGCACCCACCCAGTAATTTGGTGGGAGTTACAAAGACTATGGTAAGAAGGGCCATATTAAGTAATTCGTTGTATCATACCTAGCTTTTTATCAACTCCAGGTGAGATGCTGTCTTAATAATCTTTGTTTTTCTGAACACCTAGTACATTGCCCGCATGGCCGCCACCCCCCCCCCACTACCACTACCACCATACCAC